CTTTTCTTGTCAATGAAGAGTTCTGCGCGAAGGGTCATAAAACAATTAAGGTTTGTCCAGCAATAGTTATCGGCATTTAATATTTTTAATGTTTATATATCAAATATGTGCTCTTAGATCTGTTTCTATTTTGGTGTGTTTGTGTCAGCATGCGTGTATATATATATAACCACATATTTAGATTCAGTATATGTATATGAAAATTTATTTACACACATTTGGACATATATATATATATATATATATATATATATATATATATTTTACAATAAATTAATATACAGGATTGTTTTTGTAATAAAAATAATTGTTAAATTCAAAGAAAATTAATTTAATATTGAATTGGTCCTCCTTTAGCCTCACATACAGCTTTAATTACGTCTAGGAATGGAATCATACAGCTTCCTGACTTCATCCAGAGGAATTTTCAGTCATTCTTCCATTAAAACCTTCTCCAGCTTTTTTACGACACGACGGTGGAGGATAACGGCTCCTAACTTGTTGCTCCAAATGCATGCACAAATGTTAATAATATTGATATCTTGAGATTGGGGAGGTCCATGTGTTCTAGCTCACTTTCATGCTCAGATCATACCAATTCTTAACCACTCTTCATATTGGAGCATTATCGTTTTGAATATGCAGTCATCATCGGGAATAAAGTCTTGGCTATTGGATCAACATGATCTCCTAAAATGTTCAGGTAATCTTTGCCGTTGATTCTACCATGCAGGTCAACTACTGGACTGAGACATTTCCATGATATGGCGGCCCAAACTATCACTGATCCACCTTCGTGCTTCACTGTTGGAAGAAGGCATTCAGGTTTGTAAGCTTCTTTGGGCTGCCTCCACACATAAACTCACTCTGAATTTGGGAAAAGAGAAAAACTGGACTTGTTTGAGAATATGACTTGCTTCCATTGGTCTGCAGACCAGGCTTTGTGATCTCTTCACCACTTTAACCTCTTTTGAATGTTGCGAGTGGAGAGAAGAGGTTTCCTCACAGCGGCTCTTCCATGGAGCTCACGGTGAACAGTTTTAGTAGAAACTGAACTATTCAGATTATTAATCAACTCAGCACTCACTTTGGCCGCATTTATTCGATGTTTTTGTTTTAATTTTTTTTTCCACATGGCGTTTCAATGCACGTCAGTCCATGTCAGTAAGTTTAAAAGTCTGGCCCGAATTGCTACGGTTGCTAGAGGTATTGCCCTGTTTCTCGAATTGCATCAGTGTTCTTGATATGGTAGCTCTTGAAAATCAGTTCAGCAAACTTAGTGATCGAGGCTCCTGCCATGCGAGCTCCAACAATTTGCTCTTTTTCGAACTCGGAGAGGTCACGCATTTAGCTTAAATTTTACTAAATTCTAAAAATAAATAGGACAAAGACAATAAATTAGATAAATAAACGTATTTACAATAGATATAACCTGCAATTACGAAGTTTTAGTTAAAGTTCTTAATACAATAGGTCTTTGAAATATAATTCCTGGATTTTGCAACTGTTCCAATTATTTTGTCCAAACCATATATATATATATATATATATATATATATATATATATATATATATATATATATATATATTTCTGTTCAATGTAAAACTGAGGACAAACAAAAACCGATATTTCGGGTAATCTAACAGGGAAAGAATGAAATTATTAAAGAACGTTAATCTAACAAAATACAGATAAAAAGTACACAGTAACCTGGTTGTGAAATTTCACATTATATTAACGTTCATTGTACATTGAAACCGTCATTTTTACAGTTACCAACTTTTTCCAGACATTTAGATACAACATTTATTCCAACCATAAAATCAATAATTTCTGAATATTTTGTACCAGAACGAAAAGCATCACTGGTAAGTTTTACATCGGACAATTTATTTACTCACCACATTTTCCTATTAATTCTTTATATATATATATATATATATATATATATATATATATATATATATATAGAGAGAGAGAGATTTGTGTGTGTGTGTATGTATGTTTGTATGTGTGTGTGTCTGTGTGTGTGTGTGTGTGATAGAGAGTATGTGTGTAGTGTAAAATTTAGCCATTCAAAATAATACTAAAAAGCTTTTTAATAAAAAATAATGTTAAGATCAAATAATTTCAAAAAACATCGATGAATCTAAATCCCAACACAATAATAACATATATAGACAGATACATGTCCAACAAATAGTAAATAAAAATGAATAAATACAACTGATATGTTTTTATAAATATATATATATATATATATATATATATATATATATATATATATGAACTATATTATTGTATAGTGAGCTATCATACATTCAGGTAACGATGTCAAAATTTATTTTTGATTCATAGAAAATCTCTGTAAATTTCGTTTCTTCCACCATCGAATGACTTTACGTAATATAAATTATTTAATCAACACCGCTCTCTCAGAATATTCCTGGCAATTAAATAACTGTTGTAATACACCCATTATTACGTGAGATATTACAGTTAAGGACAAATCTTACAAATATGTAATTATGCCTTCTTGAAAAATTAATTTTAATACACTTAAATACCCTATCTTAATAAATAAGAGAACTGAATTGATGGTTATATGTAGGAAATACTACTAAAATACGTTGATCTAGATTCATATAAATTATGTTTTTTAAGAACCAGTATTATATTTAATATAAAAAAATTAATATTCACTATTCTAAGATATTTTATATATATATATATATATATATATATATATATATATATATATATATATATATATATATATATATTAATTAATTTGTATTCCGCTTATAATATTTGATATTTTATTAAAATTTGAATGTCATTCTGTATATTCTATAATCAGCACCTGAAGATTGCGTTGTGCTTAAAATAAGCCTTTTTCTTAAAATATAGAATAAACTGAAGACACAATGAAACGTCTGCAGAGGCTGAATATCATATAATAAAATTTCCAAATTACATCGCATGAAAATCTGGTATATATATATATATATATATATATATATATATATATATATATATATATATATATATATGGTTTCATTGAAATTGGTTTACATTATGCGTTTTTTCTTTTTAAGCTTTTTATAGTCAAAAAACGTAAAAAAAATATGTGTGTGTATGTGTGAGTATGCTTATATAATATATCATTAATAGTGTTTTTTTTTTCTTAAGTTGGCGTTTGTATTCATGAAAGAAAAGAATGAAATTGTGTGACTTTGTAAAAAGAAGCCGATAATGTCTGTATCTATACCTTTTCTGTATCTGCTCTATATCTCTCTTTTTTTTACGATATTCTTGTTCCTGTTGAAAATTATTTATAAATTCCCCCAGCTTTTCTGCATTGAATTTAAGGTTAATCGTCATCCTGTTTTCAGAATGGCTCGAAAGCAAGTAATTCCTTACATCCTTTTCTGAAATGAATTGAAAGTAAATCCTTATCCAGTTTTTCAGAATAGGTCGAAAGTAAAAGATTTATAAGTTTTTTTTATGTCTGTCTATCAGGAGAAGCGCCATATTTAGCGGAAAATGACAAATGAACACAAACACTCACACATACACACGCATAATTGTTTCATTCGTTTTTGATCTGATGAAGCCTAAAAAAAACGCGAAAAGCGTAATCTAAACTATTTTCAATGAAACGTTATTCTATTAGTCTTATTCATCAAATTTTATCGAGATTCATTATCCTGTTTTCATCCTCATCATTCAACCGTAGTCGGGATAATCGAGATAATGCGAACGATTCTTTCTTTAGCGGTTGATTATGTGCTACGCCAGGCCTACATAGAGTTTTAAATTCAGAATTACTTTCTCCTAGACCAGTTGCCACCCAAGTCTATCGAACTCAGCCTATCTTGCCCATATGAAGAAGAGGATACATATATTTCAAATATATTTCTGTAAGTAATGGATTCGACTGGAATTCGAACTCGCCACTCCGATTGCTCAATTTGCGCCGCTATCCATTACTCCTCCGTGCCTCCTATTTTACGCACACACCCCCGCTCACCACACACACACACACACACATACACACGTGCACATTTATATATACCTCACACCCTCCACACACACGTACATACACACACGGACACAGACACAGACACACACACACACACACATGTGTATATATGTATGTAAAGGCAATCCTTAAAAAAACATTTCGCTTATAATATATTTCATGAATATATTCAAATACTCATCTCTTCAGAAATGAATTTAATTTGTCCAGACAAAAGGAACAGGGAGAGGTGATAAGAATGAAATAGAAAAAGAAAAAAAAATATTAAAATAAAAAAGGAAGAAAGAAAAATAAAAAATTAAAAATAATTTTTTTTAAAATAAAAATTTCTATATAAAATTAAAAAAAAATAAAAAATTCAATGTAAAATCTAAAAAAAAAATCAGTTGGAGAGAAGGAAAGAGAGAGGGGAAGAAGAGAGAGGATTGAGAAACAGAAAAGACATGAACATTTTAAAAAACAAAGGATTGGATGTGGACCTGCCTTGGATTCCTTCCAGAAACACTAAATGATTTCCTTACTTTTGAGCCATTCTGAAAATAAGACGTCGATTTGCCTTTAATTCAATACAAAAAATCTGAGAAAAATCTACTTACTTTCGACATAAAACTAAGAATTATAAAGATAAGATAGAGAATAAATATTAACGGCTTTTTTAAAAGTCACTCAATTATTTCTTCTTTAATCACAAGACACACCATCTTAGGGAAACAGTACTAATGATTAATTCTTTAAGCGTGCACACAGATACAAGTTCACACATTTCTTTCTTTCATTTTTTTGATCTGATGAAATCTAGAACGGCGAAACGCGTAATGAAAGCTATTATCAAAGAAACGTTTCCCATTTGTCAAATTTTCTAAATACTTTATCGGGATTCTATATCCTATTTTCATCGCACCAATATATATATATATATATATATATATATATATAAGTTTTATACTAATATACTTTCGTTTCATTAGTGTGTATAGATAGATAGATAGATAGATAGATAGATAGATAGATATGCATAAATAATGAGAGCGAATTAAAGCGAGGGTGTTAATGAAGAGAGAGAATATAAAACGCAAAAAACGAGGTGGATACATACTGGGATATCCTGAAAAAGTAATGGAAATAATTCATTACATAAAATTACTCTAATTTAACACGATAAAACATGCAGAATAATCTAGAATAACAGTTTAAATTTGATAAATGAGGAAAAACAGTGATGTCTCCTTACGAATAATACAGTTGTATCTTTTTGTGAATCAATCATCCTACTTAATGAATATTAAGCAAACGTGAAATCCACGATGCTTCTTAGAATTTGCATTGCCTTTGTTTCCTCCAAATTCGTTTCTGTCCCAAAAATGTCTATATTTAGTACGTCTCATATCTTAAGACGCTTGTCCACCATGAAATGTTATATTTACTTGTTTTAAAAGCTTTTTTTTCAAGGTCGTGCGACTGACGTTTTCCAGCAAATATTTTCTGTTTCCGTTAAATTTTAGTACACTCTGTATTGTTCAGCTAGTGTCGAGGTGTAAGTGGTATCTACACAGTTGCCAAAACGGTGAGTGTATACAATTCGGGCGTCTGCGATCAGTCTGAAACTGTCACAAGCCATTGCTTCCGCACAGACCATAAATATCGATTACATCGAATTTGAGCGAAGAAGAAAGAGATAAAGAGCGAGAGAGGAAGGGAAACTAAGAGAAATAATTTCAGGTTTTATCAGTAAGCACTGTGTTCGTGTGTCTGTGTACGTATCTATGTTTTCCTGAAATCAAACTTACGCCCAATATGTATCAGAAGTTTATAGATACATAATTGTCACTGAAAGAGATAGATAATTTTGGCTAGGAATTCTTAACAATGTGTTATTTCTAAGAATCAATTTTGATTGTGGAGAGAATTAAAATATGTAGTAGCCAGCCTAACCTCTTCTCATCTTTATCATTAATCTGTTCGTATATTAAGTTTTCCTTGCTTGTTCCATTTATTAAACGCGGCTATATCAGTTATAGCGCTTTAAACTTAAATGAACATAAATCACATTGGCTCAATGGTGATTGAACCCTTTTTCAAGAGAGAAGATTACCGATTCGTTCACACTGACGACAATTCTTATAGAACTCAGAATACAAGAAATAAATTCAACTAAATCAGCACATACAGTGATGTTATTTTTCTTTCCCAGATAATTAATTCTATGAAATTAAATAAAGATGGATATTCATTTAATAAAAGAAATTAAAACGGACCTGTTATAATAAAAAGAGTTGTGGGGTCGCTCACATAAAAACAGCAGTAATTAGCCTCGTATTGACGGAAATAAAATACATACGTTACAGAAATACAAAATACAGTGATAACAATAAAGGCATGGCAAATTGTATGTTAATTTCATACAATTTATTTATATTTTTTGTGTATATTGGTGAGTGTATTTTTCAGATTAGAATTTTTTATGGTACGTGTGATGAAAGTGAGAAATCACTACGTATTATTGAATGCCATCTCACAGAAATAAGTTGCACACGTGTTGCTTGTACGAGGGGTCGTGGTGATGCGGTTAAATTCAACGTCTTTTGGTAGGATGTCCCTATTTCCGACAGGAAAAGTTTTTGTTGCATGCTAGGTGTATAGATATTATTTGTATTTTTATTTAATTTATTTTAAACAAAGTTTAAATATCATTGTTTTATTTTATTTTTGATATTATTATTTTTGATATTTTATTTTTATTTAATTATAATAATGCATTTCCTACAGAGTAAAAAATTATAAAAACGAACTTAGAAAATAACCTTTATATTACAGTAAAATTTTAATATCAAAATGTAAAAACACAATTTAGAAAAAACATGTATTAACATGTTTATCTCGTATCAAAACTCAATCGATAACATGAGACATGTACACAATATTAAAAAATATAATAAATATATAAATATAAAAGGCATATTAAATTTAAGCTTAACAGCGAATTTTTCTTTTTAAAGCGACATGGCTGGTAGGACTTAATATAAATTAACTCTCAATCCTTAAAGTGAAAATCAGAGTGAGCATTTTTCCGTGCCGAGAACATGTATTCGTTGTAGACCGGTCAAATGTTTATTTAATAAATATTCAGCTGCCGCTCAACCGTAAGTGAGAACACACCTACTCAAACCGTTTAAATTGGTTGGTATATATTGATTAATCATTACGTCACGCTGATATCTGTAAAAATAGATGAGCAAACTGATATGGTTGGGAGGCGAAAAATTCTTTCGGATTGAACTGTGTCTGGAGAGGTATAGAGGTAATGCTTGAATTGGCAAACAGATAATTTTTGGAGGAGATTTGTGAAATAAATTAAAATTTTATTATCATAATCAATATAACTGCATCTTTTTGGTTCGGAGTTCCTTGATTTCATGATGCGATACTTCTCGGTCATCCATGGAAATCGGTAACTTGTTCTTATTGCATTCAGTTTCTTGAGGCGTTTGGATAATTTACAAAGTGCCCCACCTCAAAAAAAAAAAAAAAAATGGCATCATTTAAAATATCAGAGTAAATTCATGTCTCAGAAAAACGAAAATAAATAAGCTTCATGTTCAATAATATAAGATTCATTTCTCCAAATCTGGACATGATATTCAAACGTTGTAGGTTTTATAACCGATTTCACAAAGCTTCACAAATGTGCAATATGCGTACCACCCGTGACACATGTCATGCGTAAACAAGTTCCAGCGCATCAGTGCGGACTTATCTCAATGAAAACCTGCCAGGAAGATGGGTCGGGAGTGCCAGTAATAATGACAATGTGCTCTTGAAATGGTTACGACGTCGCTGACATGGTATCTTGTGATTTTTTTTTTCTATGGGTCTTGTCTCATTATGCCCCACTTCCTACAAGCCTAAAGGAACTTAAGCTGAGAATCACTGAGACACTGGTGAATGTTACACAAGACATGCTACTGTGTGTTTGGCGGGAGCTGTACTACCGATTTGACGTGTTTCGTATTACAGATGGTGCGTATATTGAACATTTTAGAAGCTTTGTGAAATCGGTTATAAAATCTACATCCCTTTGAATATCTTATTTGAATGTTGATACATAGATATTTTATTATTCAGCATAAAGCCCATATTTATTTTAGGTAATACATGATATACAGTGACTCAGATATTCACATTTTAAATGATGCCAATTTTGTGGGGATATCCTGTACATTTACAAAGTGTTTCTATTGCTGTTACGTCCAGAATATGGTCTGTAGAAAAGTACATAATTAATATGAACATGCAAATAAGTGCGACAACAATCATTAGTGGGTCCGTATTGCATCCAACATAATTTTTGAGCTGGTCAATATAATTTTCCAGCGGTTTTCATTGCTGTTATGTCAGTTAGAAGATTTCAAATGAAGTGCATCGTTAATATGCCATATGGACTAACTGTGACAACAACAATTGTTATTCGTCTATATTGCATCAAACATCTTCAGTGGGTTGGTCACTGTATGATATCAAATGGTATCCAATGAAGTGTATCGTTAAAAAAGCCCATGGAAACATCAGAGACAACAGAAGCGGTTAAATCCTCCATTTTGCAAGAACCTTCTTTCATACTGCTATGTCCTTGATATGGTTTCCAAAGAAGTACATCGTTTACAAGCCCAACCATATAACCGTGATAACAGCAGTCGTCCATATTCCATCCAACATCTTGAGTAAATTGGTTAGCGTAAGTCCTCAAAAGAAGCCCTGTGTGATGTCTTCCCGAGAAGTCCATCGTTACATTTCTTAAGAGTAATAATAATTTGTTCAAATTAAATCATCTTAAATTGGAAAGTGTATGTCTTTAAACGGCGGCTGATATGTTATATCCGGGAGATGGTATGTAGAGGAATGCATTTCTAATAATCTTACCTATGATACTCAACCAGAATTCGCAATTTTGAACTAGCTTTCCTTCATTACACCTGAAATGGAAATCACTTTATGCAAGAATATGTTGATTTTTCCTTTTATGTTAAGTTGAAAATGTCTCAGAACATACATTTATAGGTATCATCTTCAAGTCGTAGGGAGAACCCAGAAGAGGCTTAATAATCTAATGTATGAAAATGGTTTTCTTTATCGAATAAAACCTCCATGAAATGTCGATATGCTTCTTTATTGTATTTGTATTTTCTGATTAACTTGAATATTCCATTCTTACGTTTTAAGGTATTTTTCTTTGAAGTGAAAAGTGTTTTATGAATATATGGGTGTTCTGAAAAAAATGGAATAAACGCACATTGCAACAAGAAAAAAAATTGATTCTCTACTTTTCTGCTTGATAATCTTTCAGTACCAGTATTATAAACTCTGAAGTGTTTCATTATAACAAAAAACTCACAATGATTGTTCAGATACATAAATATCACAATCATGAGCTTCAAGGTTTCGACTAATACACGAGTTATGACAATAATTTAGTCTTTAGTATTAATCCCTATGAAAAATAAGTTTTATGAAGTAGATTAGATTTCCATTTTCATTGCTGAATTTAGTGCCTGATTAGAAAACTAAAAACAAAATATTACATATTAACAAAAAGCATTTATTAATCAAATACACAGTCTCTATTGTTTTTAACAATTGTCTCCCGTCGTTCTACAAGACTGTTGAAGACATTTTCGCAGAAACTTCGTGATTTTTGTTAGAAATCTGTGAAGTATTTTGTGACAGACTACCGTGTCAAATTCTTTTGTCCTTTAAATAATTCTATAGAGACCAGAAGAAATGAAAATCCGTAGGAACCTAGTTAGGAGAATAAGGTGGGTGCAGGAGGTCTTCCCGTTTCAATTATTTAAGCTTCTGCAAGCTCTGACTTTCCTAGTAGAAAATAACACATTACGATATGTCAAAATTGGCCGTTTTTCTTGAATAGGCTAATTGAGATTGATGAGTTGGTCGCAATAACACATCGCTGTTATTGTTTCGTTGACTGAAAAAAGTTCAAGGTTGATTTTCCCCCAGCAATCCGACCAAACTTACAGCAACACTTTCATTGGATGCAAGCCCTGTTTAGTCATGGATTCTGCAGATTCACAATCTTGTT